GGGTCTCCAACCACACACCTCCCGATACAGGGACCATACTTATCCAATAAACTTTGATCGGTTACACCAACAGTTATATCGCAGCACTTAGATACACCATCACCTGGAAATAGGTCACGGTTCACATGATCTTCATCTTCAAAATCAACTAGTATATCCTCATCATTGATCTTGAAAGCAAAATACATATATACTCCAGTTTCTTCACACACTGGGGGTCTGGGTTCCGCACCAGACAGGGGAAGAAGGGCATATGGGTCAATATCAATAGTATCAGCTTTCTTGTGGCTCGCATTGTAATAATGTATCGGTACCGGATTGTAATCCCAATACTCCGATGCCGGTTTCGTGATTTCACCGTAGATTTGGCTGTTTACCAAGGGGGTGCTGCGAATTTTGTCGTTCAATTTGACTATGACCTTGTACAGTTCGAAAATGAGTAATCCCCTGAACGTTTCTATGTGACTGTCTTTGTGGCATCGACTTACATTGAGGCAATTCCTTTGACCATCTTCTTCTTTGGCCATGGGAGAGTTTGCGGTGTCCCATAAAGCTCTTTCAACAACCTTAAACCTCGTAGTGAAATCGTCATCTGTGTCAGAGTCGGAATCACCTTCATACAAAAGCCCATCATCGTTATCGTCGTCGCCACCTTCACACGAACGCCGTTCGTCATTATCTTCGTCGTCACCTGCTTCGACATCCCACTCCCTCGGCCTCCTCTTCTCTAAATCAGATCGATTAATTACAGTTCCTGCTCGGATCATTGCTAGCAATCGGTTTGTGTTTGTTTAAATTTTTTTAGGGTTTTTTGTTGTTATGGACAGAGGCGATTTGGGAATGATGATGACCCGAGATGGGCGAGAGGTGAGATCTTTTGATTTGGGGATCGAGATGTTCTAAAACAAAGGAGAAACCCCTAAATTGAAGGATTAGACTAGAGATGTTAAACGGGCTAGCCATTGCGGTTTTTGGTTTGTCCTAGTGGGCTTCGGGCTAAACGGTCTGGGCCTAAAAAACCCGAATTTAAACGGGCTACCAATAAAAGGACTAACTCTAACCCTAGCAGGTTTCAGACTAAACGGGTTATAATAATAATAATATATAAAAACATATAAATAAAAATTACAAATTGCAAACTCTTAAGTGACATGTTTTTTTCTCAAAAGAAAAAAAAAATGTTCGAATTATTACTTATAATTACCATTTTACTACTTATTTTTGTACGC